CCGATCTATTATCTTTCAAAATCTTTGTTATTTTTTCAGTCTTCTAACTTTGCCATGATATTCTCAGTGATTATTTATCATTTTAGTTTTGTTTGTACTTATCCTTTTTCATCGACACTCTCAGTCTTCTCCTCCCACACGACCCTTCCCTCCTCCTCCTCCTCATTACGTGCCTCCACCTACACTTTATTGTACATTGGTTTTATTTTTCAAGTACGCAGTAAGAAATAATAATCGATGATTTCCATCAACACCCCCCCCCAAAACATCGCTTGTTTCTTGCCCGACGAATGCAAGTTTAGATTTGACAAAAGAACAGAAAAAAAAAAAAAACGAAATAAAACATTGAAACTTTAAAATTACAATCCATAAAAACGATAATTATTCTGGAAAATTAAAAAAAATGATCCGCATGAAAACAGAAAAAAAGAGTAAAATGATAGAAAGCGAAAGGGAAAATCAATAACTATCAAATTAAAGAGGAAAGTGTCTTTTGTAAAATTCGATTGATTTTATTTGCTTTAAGTTTCAAAATCATGACTCAAGTTTTGTCAACATCTCGGACATTTTAGAAGATATTTTCAAGAATCTTTGTGTGCCGATACTGAAAAACAATTTCATTGCAGTGTAGTTCTTTCTTTCTTTTCGTCTTTATTTAGTTCGTTTTTGATCGACTTTATCATTTTTCATTTGATTACACGTGCTTGAATATGATTACATACATGTAAGTTGCTACTCAAAAATGTGGTGCATTTAACTGGATGAAATACGGACTTTTATCTCGTGTGAGCTGTATTAGTTATAAGATCTATGTGTATATGCCCATGGGGTATGCATCGAAGTATATAGTGGAAACTAGATGTTAGTTAAGTCATTTTTATATTTGTAAAACTAAAAAAAATACTTATTTTGCACCTTATATATGTATTTGTTAAAGTAAAGAAGTACCTTGTCAGTCATTTTTAATGACTAACAAGGTACTTCTGTTGAGTTTTATGTGAACAAGAGAATTCTTTTTTTATGTTAATAGGTGTAGACAATTTGCAAATGATAATTTCGAGCGCTTTCGGTTCATCTATTAGCAATTTTCGAGGATTTTGGTTGTGTCATTGTAAATGACGTATAAGTGCTATTATATATATATATGTATATATATGTATATATATATATATATATATATATATATATATATATATGTGTGTGTGTGTGTGTGTGTCTGTGTCTGTGTCTGTGTGAATGTATATGAGAACATCGATAACTTCATAGCCTTACGATAAAAATATACAAAACAAATGCTTATTTGTCAAAATAATCTATTTCAATCAACGCTTTGTCAGAGAGCCTATCGAACATGATACAATGATAATTTCAGATCAGAATCCAACTAATAACTGATAAAATAGATTTCAGATCATAATCTAATAACTGATAAAATAAATTGTCTTTTTTCGCTTTTGCTGTGAGAATGACAAAATGAAACAAAACCCTCCTACGGAAGAATTTCTTCAGACTAATGTTTTTATAGACGGAGTCTTACATATATGTGGGGAGAAATACAACAGACGCTGTTTACGATTTTATATCGAGAAACACTAATGATATAGAGACTCTTAATTTAAAATTCTTAAACGTCTAACATAAGATTTTCTTCCATTTTATTATTCAGTTACTCACTATTAGACTGATATATAGATTTGTATATATCATACATACAGGCACACATATTATCATAGTCTATGCAATCTATACTGGTTAGTGAAAAATACATGTTGCATGCTCTAGAGAACGCAATGTTTTCAATAACCAGCCTCACTTTCGTCTTTAAACTGATAGTTTTTTCATTCGCAAATGAATTATACCACTTTTTTTTCTAACTTCGCATACGTGTCCGTTAATATATCAAAGAAGAGCTTGTGGTTAAGATGACCTCTTATGAATTCTATCATTAGAGAAGGGGAATGTCTTTTTTCTCTTTACATCAGTTGTCCTACCTTATCCTTAGCTGTTGTAATATTTACATTTCGTAAAAATTGCCTATGCAATAATTTAATGTTTTCCTTCCAAAGAAAGTCCTTTGCGTTAAACTGAAAGCAAATTTTATATACTCCGTAAGCGAATGTAGCAATTGTTTCCACAAAGATTAATTCTTGTTCAGTTTTTTAAAAATCTTTCACCGAATAAATTTTATTAAGTAGTAAAAAAAAAAAAAAAAGAAAAAAAGTGGCACCTGCTAACCTTAAAATACTACGATCGAAAACAGTATTTCTGGTCAAGTTCAAAGCAGTCCGACATGTCACTTTAAATAATGAAGATCTCCAGAGAACAGAAATTAAAATGTTTAGTAGCGTTCACAGTGCTAGATTATTACCTTTTGGGAGCGCTAGGCTAAAGAAATTATGAGAAAAACGGAGCCACCTTCTACCTCGCCTGCACCCGACTTGAATGTTTCTTTTTCGTGATATAGTATCATTTACATAGCTTGGAAGAAACATAATGAAAATTCTTTAAATAAGCTAGAATAGCTATCTTTTGTATCTCAATAAAAAATATTCTTTAAAAAATTACAGTATTTTACTATTTATTGGAAATCATATTAACATATATTTTATAGCACGACCGTAGTTAAAAAAAAAACAGATTTTTTATTAGCACCATTATAACAATAAAACAATCAAAATAAATATGAGTTTATCATATTAGTTGATATCATTTCAGTTTACGAAACTATTTAGAAGTTATAACAATTTAAAATCACTGTTTTATAAAAACATTCTGAATTAAAATCAATGTTATCTCCTTGAAACACAGTGACACAAACTGAAACATTCTTTTTCTTGAATTGAGTTACTACTGCAATTACTACTACTACTACTAACAACAACAACAACAACAACAATAATAATAATAATAATAATAATACACGGTTACATGGTACAAACACTACCCGAATGATGTGACAAATGGTGACAGGGATATTGATGCAAATAAACCAGATATAGTTATAAAATATTTCAAAAAATGAACCGGTCGACTTATTGATATGGTTTACCCACAGGTTTCCAATGATTCTTTAAAAAAAAAAAATGAAACAGTCCTGGGTATGTAGATAAACTACATCCAACAGCAAGGCCTCTGGAGATTGGAGATTTTGAGGAGTGTGGAACCATTTCGCAATTTCTGGTTTTCCCAGGTCCACTTTGAATCGGGGTGGTAGCACTTGTTAAAATCTAAATTTAAATTTTGGCATTAAATGACTCATAAATGTGTTAATATGCCGTTAAGGAAACAAATCAATCAATCAATATGAAAAAAAAAAAAGATTTACGAAAACTATCACATTATAAGTACCTGCGAATAGAAGTAACAAAATGTGAAAACTTAAAACTACGATTATCCCTGTTGCGAAAGAGGCATTGGATATGATAAAGACTAGGTGCCATGAAGGGTCTACTGGACTTCGTATATTTGGGCCCCAGGATCAGTTTGTTGGTGTGCTGTACCTTCACTCAATAATAATAATAAATAGCTGAAGTAGTGGTGAATCATCATGGCTAATGTCGAGATAGTTGTTTTTGGAATATGACGGATGGGCGTCCAAGGCGACTTAGGTGTGTAACTGGGATCCACTTGCAAGGTCATACACCACTTTTAACAAAATCTGTCACCATGTCGCACATATTTGGCTGTGATGCATGGTATACCCTTTTCAGACTAGGTGTCATGATGGGTATATTGGACCTCATATATTTGTACACCAGCGTCAATTTGTTAGCGTAATCTCGCACATAATAATAATAATAATAATAATAATAATAATAATAATAATAATAATAATAATAATAATAATAATTGGTTGGAGCCCTCGGTTTGATCAGAAAAGGTTCTGATAGACACATTGAAGAGACATGCCTTAAAGAAATACAAAAAAAAAATTGTTCTCCCGGTCACAGATTGAATCTATGTAAAATGTGTCTGATCTTAAGTTGTTTTATTTATGTTTTTATTTTTTATAAAAATATTCAGTGGAAAATGTGATGATATAATTTCTGACCTTGTCTTTGTATGGGACCCGGAAGGAAAAGAGTATGCAACAGAAATCAAAGGAAATAATAATAATAATTAAAATAATAATAATATCCGATGAAAATATTTATATCGGCTTTTATTTGTATCACTGGAAACATGAGGCGTGATTGAAGGTTCGAATCCAGCAATCAATGAAGGACGGAAAGAAGTGTGACTGCGCACAAAAAAATAATTCAATGAAGCTTCTATATTCGCAGAGAGGGCTACATTTATTCACTTTTGTACAAAACAAATTATTGATTTGTCGATCGATTAATCTAAGAGAAAATTAAGCTTTCAGAAGCAAATAAATATTGTGTAACATACTCCTTACAGTGATTGCTATGTCTAATAAATTGAAGATTTTTTTTCCTTTAATTAATTAAGATTCGTTTGGCATGAAGTAGCTTTTCATAGTCTGGAAAAGTACATTTCTCTTTTGTCTCAACGATATCATGCCGGGACCTAGGAGAAGAGTTTGATAATTTGATTGATTGATTGATTCGTTTTTACGGATTATCAAATATTTTCCCGGTTATTTAAAGCCAGACAATATTTTAAGATTTTAAGAATTTCGAGCTAATAATGATTTAGAGGTAGAAGTCTTACTAACTGAAACATAGCGGAGGAGGGGGAAGACGTTGATTAATATATTCCCCCAAAATATGTGTACATGTGTGAATGTAACGAACCCAGATAGATTTGGAGCTCGGCTCACAGATTAACAATTCCGAGCCATTGTCCATTACAGAATCCACCGATGTTTTCCACCATTGTCTACTATTTCACTACATGCTAAACTAATTTTAAATCGTATCTATCTATCTATCTATCTATCTATCTATCTATCTATCTATCTATCTATCTATCTATCTATCTATCTATCTATCAATCACTGATAGACTATCATACATAGGAATAAACAAGGTCTGTGAATGAGATTCGTATCATTATCTATCTATCTATCAATCAATCTCCATAATTGAGTACTATTTAGAAACCTCGGTGTGAAAATCTATCTATCTATCTATCTATCTATCTATGTTCAATCTATCATCTATCTATCTATCTATCTATCTATCTATCTATCTATCTATCTATCTATCTATCTATCTATCATCTATCCTCTATCTACCTATCACATTCTTTCATAAGCACCGTCGTCTAATATCTATCTACGAGACATTGTCTATCTATCTATCTATCTATCTATCTATCATTTCCATCATTCGCTCTGTATATCTAATTTTTCTTCGTATCTATCTATCTATCTATCTATCTATCTATCTATCTATCTATCTATCTATCTATCTATCTATCTATCTATGATAACCTCTACATATCTATCTATCTATCTATCTATCTATTCGTGATCTATCTATCTATCTATCTATCTTCTATCTATCTGTCTATCTATTTCTATCGTATTATCTATCTATCAGTCATCTATCTATCTATCTATCTATCTATCTATCTGATATCTATCTATCTATCTACACTCTATCTAAATGATGTTCTAGCTATTGTCTATCTATCCATCTATCTATCTATCTACATTGTCCTATTTCACTCATCTTCTATCTATCTATTTATCTATCTATCTATCTATCTATCTATCTATCTATCTATCTATCTATCTATCTATCTATCTATGATCTATCTATCTATCTATAGGCATCTATCTATCGAAATGAGATTTAGCTATCTATCTATCTAAACCTGTTCATCTATCTATCTTTCTATCATCATCTGTCTATCTATTTCTATCTATCTATCTATCTCTAATTTTAGAATCTATCTATCTATCTATCTATCTATCTATCTATCTATCTATCTATCTATCTCTCTATCTATCTATCTCATATTGCATAATCTACTATCTATCTATCTATCTATCTATCTATCTGTCTATCTATCCATCTACCTATCTATTCATCATCTATCTACTATTTTCTATTATCTATCTATCTATTTTATCTATCTATCTATCTATCTATCTATCTATCTATCTATCTATCTATCTATCTATCTCTGATAGCCTCTTCGTACATAGGTGTATCTAATCTATCTATCTATCTTTTTTCATTATCCATCTATCTATCTATCTCATCTTTTCCTATCATTGTCCATCTATTTCACTATCATGGTACTAATTTTAGCTCTTCGTATCTATCTATCTATCTATCTATCTATCTATCTATCTATCTATCTATCTATCTCTGATAGTCTTTAGTATCTATCTATCTAGGCATCTATCTATCAAAATGATGTTCTCTGAGCCATTGTCTATTTCTGTTCATCTATCTATCTATTTCCATCTATCTATCTATCTTTCTATGTTAATCTTTTATCGTATCTATCTATCTATCTATCTATCTATCTATCTATCTATCTATCTATCTATTAATATCTATCACACACATATATCATAATTAATCTTCGAAATCTATCTATCTATCTATTGTCTATTATCTATCCATATTCATCTTTCCATCACTATTCTCTATTTCACTACATGGTGTATCTAATTCGTCATCTATCTATCTATCTATCTATCTATCTATCTATCTATCTATCTATCTATCTATCTATCTATGATCTTATCTATCTAAAGGCATGAATCTATCGCGAATCTATCGCTCTTTCCTATCCATTATCTATTCATATCTATCTTTTCCATCTATCTATCTCTTTCTATTATCTATCTATCTAATCTAGCATCTATTCTATCTATCTATCTATCTATCTATCTATCTATCTATCTATCTATCTATCTATCTATCGCTGATATCTATCTATCTATCTAGGCATCTATCTATCTATCTATCTAAATTCCTTATCTATCTTCCATTGTCCATTATCTATCTATCTATCTATCTATCTAGTTTATATCTATCTATCTATTCTATCTATCTATTAATCTAATTTTAGTATCTATCTATCTATCTATCTATCTATCTATCTATCTATCTATCTATCTATCTATATTATATCTATCTATCTATCTTCATATCTATCTATAAGCACTCGTATCTGAAATGAGATATCTATCTATCTGTCCATTACATCTATCTATCTATCTATCCATCTATCTATATTTCATATCTGTCTATCTAATTTTATCTATCTATCTATCTATCTATCTATCTATCTATCTATCTATCTATCTATCTATCTATATTTTCATTATCTATCACATATATCTAATCTATCTATCTATCTAAATCTATCTATCTATCTATCTATCTGTATATCGTATCCATCTATCTTTCCATCTATCTATCTATCTATCTATTAAATCTAATTTAGCATCGTATCTATCTATCTATCTATCTATCTATCTATCTATCTATCTATCTATCTATATCTAATATCTATCTATCTATCTATTTATCTATCTATCTATCGCTAAATATCTATCTTTCATTATCTATT